TAATGCACAGAACCACGCTCAGCTGAGAGCTAACTACATTAGCATGAGGACTTTTTGTGCATGACTTAGTTTTATGCAAAATAAACTATGGGTGAATCTCACGAACGTCCAGGTCATATTTCACCCAGAAATAAGAAATTATATTTCGAGGTTTAGAACCACTGTAATTTTTTTGCATTGCAATATTATTTTTGTGATATTTTATAAGAATTCTCACTACCATAAATTCTCATTCACATTATTGTAATTTGAAAAAAATATATTGTAATGTACACTACCATTTAAAAGTTTGGGTTCTGTAAGATTTATTCATGTTTTTTAAAGAAGACCCTCATGCATTTATCTTGATCAAAAATACAGTAAGCAGTAATACTGCAACATATTATTAACATTTAACATAACTATTCTCTATGTGAATATATGTTCAAATATAATTTATTGCAGTGATATAAAGCTGAATTTTCAGCATCATTACGCCAGTCTTTAGTGTCACGTGATCTTCAGAAATCAGTATAATATGCTGATTTGCCCGTTTTTTTCAAGATTCTTTGATGAACAGAAAGTTAAAAAAAGAACAGCTTTTTTTTTATATAAACCTTTGGTAACATTGTAAATGTGCAACAATTCAAAACAACAACAACAACTTGAAATACATATTTAAATTGCATTTATACATCATGGGAATTTAAACTGTCATGAAAATAGTTTTGGGGGTGAAATGCATCCTAGACGTGTTTTCATATTGCCATAATTATTCAAAGCTTTGTGTTTTAAGAAAAATCAATGTAAATAGCTCATAAAATCGAATTCATTACTTACACTGGCTACTGCTGTTGCGTAACTTCCTGGCTTCAATGTCATCTGACCTCTCCATTGAAATCTGCAACTCTAAAGACAGAATAAAATGGTTTATTTATACATTATGTCATTATACGCAACATATGGCATGCAGTGATTTCCAGATACTAATATAGACAAACAGCGTTAGTGACTAAATCTTGCTTTCTAAATATATATCTCTCAACAAGAACTATGAGACACACACCGAAAGTTCAGGGCTTGGCAGCATCTGTAACCACTCACTTTAAAAGTGCATAGAAAGAACATCATCAAGCTTTGTAAATGACGATGAAAGTTCAAGGTATGCAAGACGCCACTGAAAACAAAATTTGAGGAACTTCAGAACTAGACGGCGAGGAAAAGAAAGAAAACTGTTGTTGCCACTCACTTCCATCGCTCATGGAACTGAAGCTGCTCTTCTGGCTGTTCCTCTTGCTGTTCCAGGTGTCATTGCCGCTGTCCCGCTGCAGCTCCTGCGGCCTGACCTGCGGCTTCTTCTTACTCTTGCGTGTGCTGATGCGAATGATCTCTCGCACCAGCCGGCACTCGGCCTCCTGCTCCTCCATGTTGTGCTCCTCCACGATATCCGAGATCAGCTGACTGATCTCCCGGGAGCGCCGCAGGAACATGGAGTCCGTGGTGCACTTGGCCAGCTCGTTGATCTCAAACTCAGAGAAGACCTCCATGAGCTTCCGGGTGATGAGTTTGTCCACGTCTTCCATCCCGCTGCCGCAGATTATGTCATCCTCCGGTAAGCTACTGAAGTAAATCGGACTGTCCATCTCGATTTTGGAAGTGGAAAACGATGCATGCTCCTCATTATCTTCAATGACGGATGTGTCCACCTTGACGCCCCCAATGTAGACATCAGGATAGAAGCCGTTCTCTGCCTGTGGAGGACTTGATGGGTTCTCCGCCGGCGCTTTGGGAGCTGAGCTTTCGCTCGAAAGGAGACAAGGCAAGCGCCGCCACACGCGGTACAGTCCACAAGTCAAAATGCTACAAAAGAGCTTCCTGCAGCTTCTCACAGAAGCACAAGGTCCGCACATATACGTCCCCGAGACAGGCTCCTCTTTGGCGGGGAGAAAGCTTACAGTCTCTGGCCCAGTCGTATTGCCGTTGGCATCCTTGTTGACTTTGTGCCTCACTCCGAAGTGCTGGATCTCAATCTCTACGGGGTCGACGGAGCGCTCTCGGTATGGCCCTTCATCAATGGGACCACTGGTCCAGGACGGCGCGCTCTCCATAGGGACAACACTCGGCCCAGACCGTCCTCTGGTGGCTGTTTCTACGGTTATCTGACGCTGGACTGAGGCCTCAGGGTCTGTTAAAGAGACATAATAGGAGAAACTGGAACGAGATGAAGGTTTTATCTAGAGCTGCACGATTAATCGTTAAAAGATCGCGATCTCGATTCAGACAACCACACGATCTCATTTCTAAATGACAACGATTCTCCCGTGTCTATTAAACCTTTGACAAAGTCTTACCGGATCATTCAAATCTGCGTTCGCGTTCTGACACACAGAGAGCAGTTACCATGTTTCGTTAAGAAATTAGGAAATTGACAGCAGCAAATCGTACAGTCCTTCATATCATCACAGAAAATACTTGGATGAAAGTTTATAATTCAGATATAAACATTGATGTCTATGGTAACGCGACCAAAATAGAGCAAATCCGCGTTTGAAAGTAACCGCCACATAACGTTTGTGTCGATTGCATTGTTTCACCGCTAGGTGGCGAAAAGTGACTTAAAAAATGTAGAATTGAATGAATCTGTATTCAAGAGAATCGTTCAAAAACGCTGATTCATCCAGTAGGTTTATGAGTGAGTCATTGAATCATTGATTCAAACAACTTTTTCATAATGTTAATATTAAATTGGTGTATTAAATATATTATATTTTAAATACATATACACTACCAGTCAAAAGTTTTTTAAGTTAAGTGTTTTAAATATTGATAATAATAATAATAAAATGTTTCTTGAACAGCAAAGTCAGCATATTATGCTGATTTCTGAAGATCATGTGACACTGAAGACTGGAGTAATGATGCTGAAAATTCAGCTTTGATCACAGAAATAAATTACATTTCAAATAGAAAGCAGTTATTTTATCCAGAATCGTGCAGCTCTAGTTTTATCTTACATTTTCAAGCAGTCTTAGTAACAAAACTGCAGCGAGTTGTCCCGAGTTTCCCCAAGAGATGCAAACCAACCAGTTTAAGAGCTGTTTTGTGTTCGCTTTCTTGGCTGTTGTCGTTGTTAATAAGATAGTGAAAGTAAAACTTTCACCTCAACACTTACAAAACCAGGCCTGCGGTGTAAACTACATATACTCGTTTTAATTTCTATTTTAAGGCCGCATCTGATTATTTACACATTGGGAAAAGCTACAAAGTCCACAGAAGTCCCCAAACACAACACGCACAGTGCAGTTCTCTCAGTCAAATCACAGAGATGCGGCTTTGGGGAGCAGACTAACTAGCGCACTGCATGCGGGAAACACTTCAACTAGGCGATCTTAAGGAGTAACATTAAGAAGAAAGGATCGACTTCATTGCTGGACGTTACTCACACCGTATGGGGGAAATGTCGCAGTCTGACGGGCTTCTTCCGGAAGTCCTGGGAGCACAACAAGCTCTTTCGACCTGGATTTCACTGTTAGTCCACAAATACCCCGCCGGTGCTCAAGCAGCGGGCCTCAAGCTGTCTCTCAAAGAGCCGCACGCGCGGGGGAACGCTCTGACCTGCACGCTCGTCGTCCCGCTTGTGTGAGCACACGTACAGGTAACGTTACCTGATTCAACAGGTGCATCGGGACATGGACACCGGTGACGTAATCCGCCGCATGCAAGGCTGACCCATTTTCATTGACTGTCAGTAAGATCAGCAGCTGTTTGCAACCGAGGCTACACGTGAAAAAAGAAAGGAAAAAAAAAAAGATTAAACTTTTTTTTTTTTTGACGGATTGTTGATTTTAATATGATTCGTGCACCGTGAACGCAGCGCGGTGAGGTCTTTAACCAACAGATGGAGTCAGTGTTCCTCAGATAGGGCAGAGTGGGGGAAACGCCCCCCCTCCCCCTTAAGGACTGTGTCATTTCTTTCTGTGAAATAAAAGTGAAATGTGAAATGTGTCCAAGGATAGTTATCGAATTAACTGTAAATCAAGTATGAAAAACGTCCAAAGTTTTCCATGTTAGATTTTTTTATTAAACAAAAATTACAGTTGTACTAGCAAGGGGGCGTTCTGCCCTACAGGTGGGGTAAAATGCCCCCATTCTGACAAAGCAATTTGCTTTATACCTTTACAGCAAAATCAGAGTACAGGCAGTTTTAGCTTAAAACTAAAAGAATATAGAATCATGAATTACAAAATTATAATAGCCTATTTGGAAAAATAGCTGATGCTAACTTGGTCGTTTTTAAATATAAAGTCCACGTTTTTATTCAACTAGTTAGAATACATTTGATGGAAACGCAAAGGATTTGATGTTCAGAACTTCAGATCAGAGGAACTAGAGAGGAATGAAGCCACACCCCCTAGGTTTGAAGAAAAACAATTGTCATTATGAAAATACCATTATATTTTTCTTAAACAACACATACTCCCCATCTACATGCTTTACTGTTCTTGTATCATACATAACTGATGTTCTTTTTTTTTTACTTACTGCTGAAAATGAGAATTTACTATGAAATCAGCTTCACTTTGAATACTCAAAATACATCACTCGTCAACATAGGCCATGGCAGCTTCAGAATAGTGGATTCATTTTTGATTGTTCCCCCCCAGTCAGTGTTTCTCAACCCTGGTCCTGGGTACCCCCACCTATTTCAGGTCCTGGAGTTTTTTTAAATGAGCTGAATCAGGTGTTTGATTAGGGAGACAAAATGTGCAGTGTTGGGGGGCACCCAGGACCAGGGTTGAGAAACACTGCCTTAAGTAGAACTATGTCCGAAACTGCATATTACTCATACCATTTCTACAGAAAGTCACGTCACCAACTACTTTACATCCATTTCTACAGTATTAGGAGAATGGAACCGCACTATCATCAAATGGCAAGAACTGTCATAAAGACATATTTCTTCCAATCAAGTGGCATGTTGGTCTGATAAAATTCAGCTTTATTCATTTACATAGTATACTTTTTTTTTTTTTTTAAGACAATTTGGAAAGTAAACTTTGTGGGTTTAACATTTTTATTAACATTAAATGTACAGCCTTTGAAAGGGTGGTGCGTTTATAAATTGCCAGGACTGAACCTCGGCACAATGGATCAGTCGGAGCATCCTTTAGTCCTTGCAGAGCCCCAGAGCCTGATGACTGACAGCCTCCCAAACACACACCTAATCAAGGCTGCAAGAATTTGAAAAGAAACCATTAATGGTGAAATGCTGGAATCATGCAAGTATGCAATCATTAAAAACAGCCTTATTTATTTTCACAGGCTTGTAAGCTGTAGGCCATGAACAAAAAAAAGTGTATATTTCTGCGGTATGTAGTTTGTACATGTTTTCTGTACACATTCAATACCAAAAAGTGCAGTATATTTTGTATGCCATGCAGAACACTGTATCCCACAATGCTGATTTAAAGAGGCAAAATAACACTTTTGTGGAGCTAAACATGCAGCTAGGTCAGTTTGGTACCCAAGGTCTGTCTGACCGACAGCTGCTTTTAAACGTGCTGTTAATATGGCCGAGCATGTGGACAATCACATATTTCTTGATCAAAATCCCATTCTTGGTGAAGCATCAGTGTAAACACAGTTGGTTTGCATCTGTCTGAATGTAAACGTTGAAGGGAAGAAATAAACTTGCACTTTACATTCTCTCTCTCTCTCTCTCTCTCTCTCACACGCGCGCGCGCGCACACACACACACACACACGAAACTGCTGCTGTCAATTATCTAATAGTCATTTAATACTGGTATCAATATTTATGTGGTACTGAAATTGGTATTGAGAATTGTGAAGTTGAGAATTGGGACAGCTCCTACATGAAGTCATGTGACAGTGCAGAATACAACAGTTTGAAATGTTCATTGCATTATACATTTTTCTTTTTTAAATGGTGGTTAGCATACATTGCATACTGCACACTGTGAAGTAAACTGGAGTCCCATTCTGAACATAACCAAACATACTGAATTACACTCGAGGCAGCCCACTACTTGAAGCAAAGACAGATTGCTGGGATGCTACAAACACTGAAATAACCAAGATAACCATCCCAATTTTGGACTTTACAGTGTTGCTTGCAGAGGGCAGATCATTGCCTATATTTGGTTTTTAGCAGGAATTCTCTGTGTAGACTGTAAATGAAGCAATTGTACTCACTTTATAGACGTTGAGATCTGCTTCTAGATGGAGAGGTTCACTTCCTGGAATCGGACTGGTTCCTGTTGACCAAAACCTGCAGGGCTATTCTGGGCCACCTCACATTTAGAGGTAGAGGAACCCAAACTGTTAACTCGATGCTGGTTTTGCTCCGCTATGGCAGAGGGAACAATAATGTAATTATTTTCTGACTAAAAATCTAATTTCTAACATGCAGTGAGATTCTGGTGGTGCGCTTTGGTGCAAACCTTGTCTGTAGCTGCTGGAAAGTGTAGGAGACATCCTTCGGATGGCACCTTGGCCAAACTCACTTGGAATGGCAGTAATAAGCCTGGTGCCATCTGTATTTACAGTGAATTGGCTTTGGACTCCTTCGGGATAACGGGCTGAAGAACTAACTGGATTTTGTTCAGTTTGACCTGGTCTCTGGCCCGGGTAACTTGGAGGTAAGGAACTTTGGAAAACGCCACTGCTAATGCCACCAGAAGCCCATTGGTTCTGAAAACTACCAAAGCTGCTTGTGGGTGGCTTATTAAGCCTTACGTGGACTGTATTGATCTCATTAGTGGCACTGAATCCTAATTTACTTGTAGAAGGCCTTGAGAGCACTCTACTTGGTTTGTATGGGGTTCTCTTCAGAGAAGAGAAGGGCTGATACCCAGTTTGGGAAGAGCTGGCATAAGTGCTAGTGGCTGGCTGGACATTTCTGGAATTCTGGTTCACTTGAAAAGGTTGGCGTTCATGAGCAGTCTGACCTGGGGCAAATGGTACTTTACGGTCTGGAGAGCTAGTATGAACTTGGGGTTTATTGGATTCTGCTCTATCGTGAATATTTGCAGGAGCCTGAATCATCAGGATTGCTCGAGAACTGGCAATTGAGGACTTGGTCACATCATGTTGAGCCCCACTTCGAGAGGGGTACATAGGCTCAAAGACTTGATTAGGTTGACCATGGATATTGTAGGTCTGCTGGAATTTGGGGCGAGTAGATTCATAGTGAGGTGGTAATGCGTTTCTTGGAGCACTTTCTGAGGCCTCGAGAAGAACTCCACCAGAGCTGCCAATTGAAGATCTAGCATTGTTGTCCCTATAATCATTTTTGGAAGGTTTTCTTGGCTCAGGACTGGGATTGTATCGAGTTCCACTCATGGAGTAGTGTAGAGGTTCATTCCAGGACTTGCCCTGACTGCTGGCAGTCAATCTAGTATCTCTAAAGATCTGACTGGCCTGATAGGGGTCAACATGACTGGGAACTCCAAGTGGTTTTACTGAATCTGGATGCCCACTATAGCCACCAAGATCTTGAACATTTCCTCCACCTTGAACTACAAAGATTGGCCCTGAGCTAACAACCGAAGGCTTGGCCTCAGTGTACTTAAGCCCATCATGAGAGGTTTTTCTTGGATCCATACTTGAATACCCAGGTATCCCCTTCAGCAATGGTCCATAACGGCTACTGGCTGTCTGGAGTTGGCTAGTACTCTGGCTCCCCTCAGATGAACTATACTGATGGGAAACCGGACTTGAGATGGAGTTTGACGCAGCGTTTGGACCTCTTGCAAGTAGGTTTCTAGTAACTTCAGAGTTGAACTCCATAAGGCCATGTGTGTTTTTAGGAGGCTTTACTACAAACATCTTGTTCGAGCCAGCAGTTTTAGTTACCTCGTAACTAGATTCACCTCTAGATGGCTTTAAGGGGTTTGGTTCAGGTACTTTTAAGTTTCTCATCAAGGCGAACTCGCTCTGAGATGAGGTAGAAGCTAGCCTGCTACCAGGCTGAACATTTTTGAAGGCATCAGTAACTGTATGAGACTCATCTTGAACAGAGGGTTGACCAAAACCTGACAAGTCATATTTAGGATAAGAAGCAGAAGGCTTATAGCTAATCAAATTATTGTCTTGATCATCACTTTCAGCAGAAGTCTGACAATCTTTTGAATCTGATTTTACATTTGATCCCACAAACAAACTCTCTTTATGCTCATTGTCATAACTTCCATGGGTGGCTTGACTGTGGGGCAGGCCAGCAGAACTGTAAGCAGGATCATTCCAGTTTCCCATTTGTTTCACCTCAGGGCCAATCACAGGGAAAGTGTGTGCTGAAACTCTTTGCAAATTGGCGGGTGGCATGCTCCCTGTTAGAAACAAACAAACAAACAAAAAGAACACATAAACAGCATGAGACAGCAATGTTTCAGAAAAATGTCATCAGTGTGTTTGAATTACCTTCATAATTCCCCAAACAGATTACATAAGCAGGAAACAATGCAAAAAGAACCCTGAAAGCAAGCAACAAGTCAAACATTTAGCAAAGCAATGTACATGTTCAGTTGATAAGAAAAAAAGTCTGTCCGTTTTGTGCTCACCTTAAGCAGTATACAGAATCCATTGTTAAATAAGGCACCCAAAAACACAGAGTAATCAGCAACTTATCTTCTGGCGAAACCACAATGGGAATGCTTTATAGACTTCACACATCACCTTCAGCCAATCAGCAATCAAGATGCCTGCTAGCTGCAGCTGTTAACAATTATCACTTCACTTTCAAAATCATAACAGTAATGGTATCTCTATTTTTGAGCATGCTTGACAAATAAAAGAACGTAATAATAATAAATTAAAATTAACTATAACATTTTTTGTCAGGCAACCTAAAATGTGCTTTGTGTGGTAATATTTAAATAAAAAAAAATGTTCACCAAAATATTACCTGCTATTTATTTTAAGTAAACGTAATTAAACTGACTACATTAGGTTCAATGAAAATATATATAGTTTTAAATATATAGTATATTCACTACGTCGCTGTTTTTAAAAAAAAATTAATTTATTGATTTGACTTTTCAAGATCTAGAAAATATTATTTGATCTGCTATTTCTAAGCTATGAAGAAGCCATGCAATTTAACCTTATTTCTAGACTGTGCGATGAATATATGCTTTCTAACATACTGCACAACCTCATCTGACCATAATTATATTTTCATCACTTTGAACTCACATCAATAATATACAATACACACATTTTCCATGGGCTGAACATGGTAAAGAAAGCATGTAGTTGATATCATTTATCGTATTTATATGGGAAACTACAGGCATTCTGTGTTAGAGTTCAGAGAATTGCAAAATAGTCATTTGTATAATGTACAGTAGTGGTCAGGCTCCACATCCGGTACATTTTGAATCGAGTGCTTTCGAGGAAGAGGCTTCTTAATGCATCAAGCTCAAGTACAGACATGTGTTCACAGTATGGGGTTTCATACCTTAAGGAGGTATGAAAGCCATTAATATGGTCTAACACATAGCCTTCCCTCACACTCGCACGCATGCACTCTGACAATTTCCCATTCCCACCCGTCCACATTTGATAGATAGGGATCATTAGTGTCATTCTCCCGCAGTCAGCAGGAAGGAGAAGCATCCGTCTGTCTCCTGATACCAGGTACTTTAAGCGCTGAGGAGATCTGTCACACTGGCCTACTTTTCCTTGGCATGTCATTTCATCCTATACATTGTCCCTCATTTATTCCTCCAACCAGGGCTGAAGTCGGGATGTTGGAATGGAGTAATTTCCTATATATTAACGGAATCCCACATGAGCTCTTCACCTGCCATTATGGATAGTCATGTGACTGTGTGACCTTTACACGGAGCTGCATGTGATTAAAAGTCAGGTTGACATTCAAATGTATGTCGCTAACTTGGTGGCTGTTGCCACTTGCAGATGTTTTCAGCTTTCTGTAGAAAGGATTCCTTAGAATGAATCAGCGATCCCTGTTCAGCTCTGTTTGGGAACAGAAAAAGGACATATAAAGTTGAGTAAAAGCGCATGTTTTTTTTCTTGCTAACATCATCAGAAATCATCCTAGTGGTGCGAATAAAGTGACTTGGAATGGAAACAATGAAAAGAAAAAAAAGAGAAAAAATTTCAGCTGCAATGAGGCTCATTAATCAGAAAACATGTATCCAGGAAAAAAAACACTCCATCAGTCCTGCAAAACCCTTTGTTTTAGTCTGCATTTCTGAGAGAATTTTCAAGAATAAGCTTCAGTAATGGCAGCCACACTTGGCAAACTCCCTCGTCAGCAGATTCTCCTCAGCAAGCAGTGGCATACAGGAGAGAATGTCCCATTGTGAGGGGTAGTGTGAATCTATTCATCATCGGACATTCAAGGATTCTTATTATAAAACTTGAACTAGATACTGATATCAATCTTACACCCTGCACTACCACCACTATACTATAGATCTGGATTTCACATAATATATGAATGAATGAATCTTTTTTGTTTAAATTCCCTTAATTCACTTTAGTCATTCTCATTAGATTATTACAGTAAAAAGCTACTGTAATGGACTGTAAACTACTGTACTACTGGAAAAAGCATCTTGGACATTATGCTATAAATTTCTCTTTTTGTGTTCAAAGAAAGAAAGTCATACGAACATACAACCAATGGCCTATGTACTGTATAAATCGATATTTGCTAGTAGTAGACAGTAAAAAAGCATTTTATGTATTTTAATGTTTAAAGTATCTGTACTTTACTACTTTTTACTCCCACTACATTTCGTAAAAACATTTTGTTCCTAATTTTTTCGAACCGAAGAAATCAATATTTGAATTTGTGAAAGAGCTGATTATTTTCAATTAAAGGTGGGGTGATTTCTGGTAGCCAATGTTGACATTTGAAATCACCAAAACAAACACGCCCCTACCCCAAAAGGGTCTCGCCCCTATTTTGATAGCTCCGCCCAGGCGCAACCCAGGCAACGATTAGTTCTGTGAAACAAAGCAAAACTAATGTTACCGTGTCTAAACCGGACGCGAGTGGCGCGGCGCGACAAAATACTATAAAACTCATTATAATCAGTGATGCTGTCTACACCATAGATACAGTATATACACATATCTATGGTCTACACTGGATGCGGCGCGGCATGACACGACAAATCTCTGACAGAAAACTGCTGCTGCGTTCTATTCATGACATATTGACACAAATTTCAAATGATTTTCAACGGTCGCTTTGTCGAGTCCAGTGTACTAGACAGACTTTAGCTGTTGCGACGCAGACACAGTGTTACTCACCTATGGAGAAGAAACAAAGCAACCTCGGCGTTTCACGCTCCTTGAGTTCTCTCCAGCGCTGGAAAGCTGATCCGATATTTACACGGGTCCTACTTCTTGCCTTATTGCCTTAAGCCTTCGTTTGTTCCGCAGACATTTTCCTCTTTTGTTTTTTTATCCGCCATCTCTAACTTTCCTTCGCTCGGCTCGCTAATATCCGTCCCGTGCCCTGAACGCTCTCTCCTCCACATCATGAGTAGACACGCCCCTTACTGCTGATTGGCTACAAGTTTGTTTTGCTACTCGGTCCGAATCAGTTTTCTAAAGTGTTTTTGAAAAATTGCTTACCCCACCTTTAATCACTTCTGTAGCCTTAATGTTTAACACATTATAAAGGGTTATTAAAGGATATAATTCATTATAATTATTCATAATGTTCATTATACATTATATAATGTATTAACTGTGGTAACAATTATCCATGAGCTTGTACAATGCATTAGAAGGTGCATTACAAGGCATAATTACTGCATTAAATCTACTTTTATAATGCATTATACATAAAGGCTTTAAGTGTTACCATTACTTCTAATTTAGTAAATATGTAAAATAAATCTAAATTTAATTGCAGCAATGCATGTTATGTTATTAATTTGTGTAATATAATATAAATCAGCTTTATATCAGCCACCTTGTTTTCTAAAATAATGGTATTGGCCATCAAAAAATCCATATTGGTTAATCGCTAATATATACTGTAGACTGATATTGAAGAACGGATAAAACACCTTATAAACCACTCAATATGCTCTATGACAGCGGTGAGTTTTGCACACCGGCAACATTTCCGTCTCCTGGCTTTGATGTTGCCAGAAATAACAAAACTCAAAATATATTAACTGCCAAAAATTAAATAAACTTACTACATAGAGCTGATATAAACCAGAGGGAAAAAATTAGAAAGCTAAACACATGCAATATGAAAAGATCGGAGTTCTGAATGTGTAGTTATTCTGTCACCTGAACTGCTCTGTTTTGATAGGTCTTTGATCCTCCCTCACTAGGGGACGAGATGTGTCACTTCCCCGAATCTCCTGCTCCTCCTCAGAAAACTCACAGACAGCGGGATGGTCCTGACAAAGATTCCTGGAAGTTTCCGCAGTCACTCTGCATTCATTATCTCATCTCACCATGTCGGCAAATGTGACGACAAATTACAGCGAAATTCTCTGACAACCTCGCTATGATTTAATGAAGCAACTCCACCCCTGTGTGCACTTGTGAGTCTGAGTCTTTTAAAATTAGCATGCTGCTTGCCCAACATGTGAAAAATGGATAAAGAGGATGTTGCTAAACTCTGCAACTAATTTAGGCTATTTTAAGGAGCAGGCATAATTAAGGTCAATGGTGACAATGTTAAAATGGCCTAAAATGAGATCATTAATTGTCTTGATGCATGTTTAATATTACTGCTGATTTGCTATTAGTCAGTGAGGCTAATGCATGAATATCACAATCTAGTGCTCAGTGTTGTCAGCTGTGTATAGCTGAGCTGCTCCTTAAAGATTTGAAAACATGTTAAAGCATCCACTGAAATATCTTCAGCAGATCAAGTGTGCTATTGCATCTGAGTGAATTGGTGTTCAGAGTGTATTTTACTTTGAGAAGTCAAGCTGGTTTCTGTGTTTAGAGCCTCCGTGTGAGCGCAACATTAACATGACTATAATGGTGAAGGGCTTTCGTGTATAACTGCAAAATTGTACTTGAGGGAATGTACAGCGAGGGAATGCACAGAGTATGTGTATTTGTGTGTATCCACAAAAAAGGTAGACTTGCATTACTTAAACACACAAATCCTATTTTCCATCACACTCCACAGCGGTTATTTAAAGAGACTCAAGGTATCTAACGGTCCTTGATCCTTTGATATAAGATTTCATTGTATTATGAAAACAATGTAACATTCAAAACTCAGAAGTTCCTTCTCAGTGAAAAAATGAACATTTATTGAATCTGACTCATTCTGAATGTCTGCAACTTTTGCTATCAGACAGATGAATACACATGACAATGATGCCTATGGTAGTGTGTAGCACCTACAACTCTGCAGATTTTCCCAATATATCTAATTCTTAAAACAAACTCCACTTTATTTGACCATTTTAATCTAAATTTTAACAGACTGGGTTTCTTGCATCTTGAAAAGCACAAAAAAAAGTTAATTTAGTTCATACTTTCTTTGGATTAAAAACACACAAGTGCACCTCGGGGGGAAATACATACATAAAAGTCCTGCAACTAAAATAGTACTAGTTCTCCAAACATCATCCTCCATAACATCATTAAGAGTAACTAAGAGGCCAGTTATTAAACTCTCTT